AGTTTGATACTGTACCAGGACTTTACTCTTTACTCTCAGGAGAAATGATTGCTTTTTATGCTCATTTATACACAGAAGGTTTACTGATATAACTAGAAGCTCCACGTTGATCATATTTGGAATGGACATGAATATTAATAAACTCCTTTCTGATGCTTCCACAACTATTAGCTACTGTTACAGTCCATACTTAAACAAGAGAAAATCAATCCTAAGAAACGTAACAAATAAACTACGGCCAATGTGCTCAAACTAAATTATTTATTAACCTAACATAATCAGGTGGTGGCATGGAGGAATGAGCAAGAATGAGGTCTGCTTCCTTCCGTTTTAAAAGCTTGACGTCACCAAATCAACCAATAGAAAACTGAAAAGACAAACAAGATCAATTGAAAGTAATAATTACAGCCAGGAATAAGTGCTACACGTAACGGCTACATTATATATATATATTTTATTTTTTATTTTTATTTTTCTGATTGGCTTGATACCAGGACTTTACACTCATGAGATTGTAAATTCTACAGAAATGCAGATATTGCTTTTCATGTTCATTTATAAACAGAGGATTTACCAGTAGATTTAGAAGCTCCACATTGACCATATTAGGAATGGTCATGAATATTAATGAGCTCTGCTCTGATGCTCCCACAACTATTAACTAGATTAATGATTTTTTACACTCATGAAATTTACATAAGAATGAGGAAACAAAGGTGTTAAAAGCTCACAGTACATTGAAAAAAATGATGTCTGCAAATTTGTTGCCAACAACTTGTGTTGAATTTCATTTTATTCTTTTCGGCTTAGTCCCTATATTAATCAGGGGTCGCCACAGCGCAATGAACCGTCAACCTATCCAGCATATGTTTTACACAGAGGATGCCCTTCCAGCCGCAACCGATCTCCGGGAAATATCCATACACACTCATACACTACGGACAATTTAGCCTACCCAATTCACCTGTACCACATGTCTTTTGACTTGTGGGAGTAAGCGGAGCACCCGGAAGTAGTCCCCACGAACGCAGGGAGAACATGCAAACTCCACACAGAATCGTCAACAGACCCAGCTGAGGCTCGAACCAGCAACTTTCTTGCTGTTAGGCGACAGCACTACCTACTGCGCCACTACGTCGCCCATGTGTTGAACTTAAATCAAATTGGGTAATGTTCAACTTAGTTTGTTTAAAGTCATCCCAAATAAATTGTTTACAACCCCTTAACTTTAAAATAAAAAACTTTCAGTAATTTCATATACTGAAAAACACAATTTATATCATTATTAAGATAATTGTGTTCATATAAACACAATGAGTACTTTTTTCCTTAATCCCCTGGTCTGAATCATAGGTGTTAATGCAGACTCAGTGCAGTAGGTCTCTTTCCCTGTTTATTTTAACCATTAGTCCTGCTGGTAATCTGGAGGATTTAGGTGCTGAGGATTTTTTGTGCTGTGGGTCCCTGGACGCAGTCTCACCCATCGTTGTAGGATCTCACGGCTTCGCACTGGCAGGTCTGCCTTGCCTTCGGAAAGCACATGCATTCATGAATAATTAAGCAGCAGGCTCTTCTCATAGGAAAAGAAAACTCCGCTATGAATAATAATGAGAAACCAACGCATCATCTATGCACTTGCAGTTTTGCGCTATGTCACAAATTTTGATCTCGCCACAAAAATCATTTTAAACCCGGAAGCTGAAATTAGCTGACAAAAGCTCAAAGTTTCCCCCACATTTAAAGCTGACAGTTGCTAACATTGTCTTAACTGATGCTCAACACACACAAATCTGTTAACATCTCAAAAAAGTACTCAAGGGTTTCGTGAATCTTTAAATAATTTTTTTCAGTGTATGTCATTTCCATGTACTGAACTCTTAAGCATATTCAGCTTTGCTTAGATATTTCCAGATTTCATAATATGGCACTTTTAAATTAGAAGACTTTACTTTGGTTATCTTAATAGCATAATAAAACAAAACGTTTATTGAGATTGGGAATAAACTGTATTCGAAAAACATTTCCATCACTGATGCAGTCAGTGAGTTCATCGCAAGCTCATTAAATTCAGTGCTCTCATAAAAACTCTCATTTCATTATCAAGCTAGCTGTCAATGCTGCAAATTAAACTTTTATTTACTGTATCTGCACTTGCTGTTTACGATGAGTGAACGATGAGGAGCTACAGGTCTCTAACTGCAAAACCCAAGTGTTTTTAGACTTCTTCACTAACACCTCTGATGGGACACTGCATTTAAAACTTCTGCAGATATATGTGTGACAAGTTATGTTTTTGATTTTTTGTTTGTTTGTTTGTTTGTTTTTTTTATTTAAAAGACAATGCATACAATATATCAGATAAATTTACTATGCCATTCTGAGAAAATGTACATTAAATGCAGAAATTGTCATTTTGTTTGTATTCACCAGGGGCGGACTGGTCATCTGGCAGACCGGGCACTTTCCCGGTGGGCCGACATACTTTTTGGGCCGAGCTGATCATTGTCTTATGATCTGATCGGCGCATAAAAGGCTTAGCAGATTATCGTTTTTTTTTTTCTGCCTTATTAATTGACACTGCTGTGATCTGTGACTCTCTGAAAGTAGATGCTTTTTTCCCGGACAGACAGACTGGGCCGGCCCATGTGACACTCTGCAGCCCATTGACTCTTTTCCGTATTGACATTGGGCTGGCCCAATCACAAACTCCTATTTTGGACTCTGTGTGAGCGTGCGTCGTCTGTGTGTATTTGTCAAAATAGTGGAGAGTCAGAGAGAAGAAACGCAAGGGAGGTGCAGAGAAATCGCGGGAAATACGCCGTTTTTTCATACAAGTTCTCTGTTCATTCTAGTACACGGCTAAAAACGCAAATCACGTGACCACACACATGCACACTCTCTGCCAAGAGCTGCAGCCAGTAGTTCAGCGGGTGAGCATAAACCCCAGGTGAGAGTATACGTTAGTGCATGTCAGACAGTTCATCTGCTGGATGATCTCATCTCACTATAGTTGTTAAACGTGATATTGAATTCATCTTGTTGTCTCTATCTAACAATTCTTATGTCTTTTGAATCACTTGTTTTCAGTTAACTGTTTTGGCTGAGTGCAAAGATAAGTTAATATATTATGTAACCACAAACACTGATTCTGCACATTGACTGATTGCTTACCTTTATCTTTTAAATTTAATGTACGTTATACTGTTATAATGGCCATTATTGGTTATTAAAACTGATATTCTGCAAAAGAGACAGGGTGAAGTTTATTCTTTTCAATGAAAATTAAAGGAGATTAATTAAAGGTTATATTTAAGCCCTATTTTGTTATAAATATGCAGAGTGAAGATGATGCTCATATAAATATGCAGCTACACGAGGCTGTTTGGTGTCTGTCTGTCACAATATCAAAATGAAACAAGTTTGACTTATATTATGTCTTCATTTTTTAGATAGTGAAACAGCAAGCAGGATGAGATGAAAGAGGATAAAATGTAACACTGTTCCCTTTGAAGATTTACCCATGCATTAGCAGGCAGTTTTTGTTATGTTTATTATTGAAATATAGGCTGTATTGAATAAGCTAAATTGGCTGTAGTGTGTGAATGAGTGTGTATGGGTGATTTCCAATATTGGGTTGTGGCTGGAAAGGCATCTGCTGCATAAAACATGCTGGAATAGTTGGCAGTTCATTCCACTGTGGCAACCCCTGATAAATAAAGGACTTATGCGAAGAAAAATAAATGAATGAAGAGTGTATTTTTCAGAACTCAACAAATATCTTTATAGACAGTATACAGAAATTATATTGAGATTAAAGTTTGTATTTATTTATTTATTTCATATATATGGCTTTTGTGTTTTATAGAATATGAGTTGATAAAAATATTGGACGTGCATAGATAGATAGCATTTTGATTGAATTTAGTGGGCCGCTCTGGCCCAAAATGCCAGGGCCGATTTTTTGCCCCAGTCCAGCCCTGGTATTCAAATTTTATTGCAACGGCATTTCTTATAAATGGATCTTAAATTTAGAGCCATTTCTTTTAGATTCATTCAATTATTTTAAGGGCATTGTGGCATTTGTAAGAAGAGTGCCAAGCTCTTTTAAGCTCATGTTCACACGTAACATGGGTATTGTTATAAACAGGGTTTTCCCCGCTTGTCTCTGTCGACATGAAAATGCGAAAACGCACTGTGATACATGTTAAGGGCACGCTACACCAACAGGCGCTGATAAGGACACTTTCATGCTTGATTCACATCTAACAGGGAATTAAGTATTTGCACGAGTAAATTGCATACAAATCGATGCAAACGTGAGAACCGAGGCGGTCTCACTGTGAATGAAATGAAATATGCGATGCATTTGCTGCGAACGTTCGGATTTTGCCTCACTCACATCTCCATGTTTGGTGTGAACCCAGCAGTGTTGACCAATCAGGAAGCAGAAAACAGCGCGCACACTGATGTCGTGAGTCGAAAACTCAGCTTATAGTGTCGATATGACCACGCTGCGCAGTTTTGGAAAATGTTCACTCGGGTCGGAGTTTTCAGAAAGCATTGCTTTGTCACCTGACATTGCGTTTTTGGTGTGGACATTGCGTTTTGGTGTAGATAAAAAACCATGTGATCTGTGCAGTCCGACTAGTCGACTTCAATAAAGCAAGCATCATGGCAGAGCATTATAGTCGGCTATTCTGTGCAGCCCTTAGTATCAGTATATTAGATCTGTGAAAGCGTCTCTTGTACTTAAAAACAAGCAAACACAACTCAACTCTTTCAGCCATGAATCATATAAACTCAAAATATTTTGAAATGTACATTTCTAGAAGAAAACTCTTGAGGCAATCTGGAAGAACTACAATTGAGCCTATTGAAAAGAGTTCAGAAACCCGCTTATAGCAGAAGAGGTCTTTGTGCTTCATAACTCTGTAGACCTTTTTTCATGCTACAATACAAGCTAATGCTAGCTGTAAAAGCGTAAAAATGCTAGTACTCACTGTGGCAGTTAGCCTGGGCCCGTGAAGCTGTGCGTAGAGTATGGCCTCCTCGACCTGACCTCTGATCCCCAGTAAGGCCAGCTCTAAATTGTGAGCTCCGGCAACCATTTGCGTGAGGTCCTGCAATATGGTGACATACTGTCTCCAGGGCTGGTGGAGCTCGGAGTAGCTCGCCAGGCACCCGCGCATGACATTAAGACAGTAGTTGCTGCACGCATGGATCAGGGTGAGTCCACGGCAGTGAGAGCAGTAATGCATGCGTACCAGAGCCCGTGTGCACTCTTTTGATAACCCTGCTGTTTCCGTAATGTTCATCACCTCTGACCCTTCGGCAAGTGCCAAGCTGAGCACCCGCCCAGCCCGCAATGCGTCCGCCAGATCTTTTGCCATTGCTTTTGGGTGCGGACCAAAGGGGTTTACGTCCTGCCTGGTCATTCGGAGACAGTCACCAAGCTGGTTGCCTTCAGAAGCATCTGTCCCAATACTTCCTTCCATACCGGGATTGACAATCTGAGTGTGGACCAATGGGAAAAGGCTGTCGAAGAAACAGTGCACAGCAGCTTCCACCGAGACGTTGCCGGTGCCCTGGAGGAAGCGAGAGAGGTCCGTGAAGAGGCAGACGATGTGAGGGGAGATGGACGACATGAGGGATGAGTATGTGGTCTCAAACAGAGAGGTCAGGTGGTTCTGGGAGAAGGATATTAGGGACTGGAACGTATCTGAAAAAGAAGAAAGATTTAAATGAGTGATAATGATAGAATGATCAGTGGTCTTAATCCTTCTGTGCTGTTCAAATTGACTACCCCTTCATTATGTTGGTGGCTGTTTTTGCCCTATTGACTTCCATCATAATCACATTTTTTGATTACAAAGCCAAGACAGCATATAATCATGCATTCTTGATTATTGTTGGTTTTCCTGTTGGGAAGAGGTCAAATGTTTAAGTTTTACTGTTGATCATCAGTTGTCACCATTAACCCTTTATATAGGCCTATCATACAAGTTTCTGGCTTTTATATGGAGTTCTATGGAGCAAACCAGCAGATTATAGTGTGTGTGTGTGTGTGTGTGTGTGTGTGTGTGTGTGTGTGTGTGTGTGTGTGTGTGTGTATATATATATACACTTACTGGGCCCTATCATACACCCGGCGCAAAGTGGCGCAAGGCACAGCTCAATAGTCTTTTGCTAGTTTCAGCTTGGCGCAAGAGTCGTTTTGAGGCGTTGTGCTACGCTGTTTAAATAGCAAATGCATTAGCGCTCATATGTGCGCGCAAAGGCGTTCTGGTCTAAAAAAGAAGGCGTTTTGAGGTGCACCGCTGACGCGTTGCTATTTTGAGAAACTAAAATAGATTTTTCATTAGACCAAAACAAACCTGGTCTAAACTCCAGCGCAGAGTTGCGCCTCGCTTACACACTGCTTAAAACGCACAAGAGAGCAATAGGCAAATATCTTTAAATGTGAAAAAATTAAAATATTATGGATTTATTTATATAGGATATAATAAGAATAAGTATAGGATATAAAAAAAAGGGTTAAAATATTACAAAACATTATTTTCTAGCCTACATAAATATGAAAAATCACTGCTTTTATGTCTTCTTCATCTCGGGAGGCTTTTTCATTAAATTCATAACAATTTGCTTTTGTATAATGTTATTATTATTAGCAGTATTATTTATTATATCCATATTTATATTTGTTTTATTAAAAACAAGCTTAGATTTGTCCACCTGTCAGGTTTTAGACCATATGGGGCACAGCATGCGTTTTAGGATGTAACTCAGGTTTTTGAGCACACTTCGTTATTGTTGTTCATTTATTTGTTTGCGTGAAATTAGAACTGAATTTAGAAATAGTTTTGAAACGAATATTTGCGCTTAACAAATGCAATTTATTATTTATAGACTAATTGATGTGCGTAAAGGTTTCCCTATCCAAGAGCGAAAGTGAAAGTAGATCCATTATCTCTCATTCTCACGCAGTAGATGCTCTGTTTAACAGTTTTCTGTTTAACTGTTTGCTTGTGAAATGCTCAGTTTTTCCACTTAGACTTACTTTACATCCTGTAAATAGAAAATGCACTATGGCGCGACGCAGCTGGCTCTTAAAGGGAATGGGAGATGAGATTCTAATTGGTTTATTCTCAAAACACACCTATAACTCATTAAGAAAATAAACTCAACCCTTTTAGACCATGCACCACGGCGCAAAGCGGATTTTCCCGTCCTTAAATTAGCAAAAATGCGTTCTGACACACCCTGAAAGCGTTTGCGCCCTGCGTTTTACACTCTGCGCATGCGTCAAAATAGAGCCCACTATGTTTACTATGTTCTGACAGCTGAGCTGCTTATTGTGATTTTCTCAGACATCTCAAAGTAAATGGTAAAAAAGGTCTCTCTTTCACACACAGACACGTACAAACACATTCTCCATACAGAAGGCAGAAACTATGTTTTTTTTTAACTGCAACTGATAAACAACAGTAAAAATTTCAAATTTGACCTTTTCCAAACAGGGAAAGCCAGCAACCATCAAGAATGCATGATTATATGATGTCACGGCTTTGCAATCAAAAACTGTGATTATAATAGAAATCAATGGGGCAAATAAAGCTACTAACATAACGAAAGGGTAGCAAATTTGCCCTGAGTATATTGCTACATTTTTGAAAATATTCAAATATTTTGCGTAAATATGTGTCAAAATAAGATTAGTCAGCAAAAATCATTTCATTTGCTGAAACACAGAGTAAGATATCGTCAAATTAAGACTCAAAATCATAGCGGAGTGGATGAAGAGATCCTCAACAGCCCACAAAACTCAAAATAGCAGCCCATTAGCCTACAAGGTGACGTCATAGTTCCTCCACTCTATTATGCTTTGTTGTAATTTGACTTTCATTTATAGAAAATAAAACACTGGTTAAGTTTGTCTTCAAATGAAAAATAATGTTGTTATAAGTGATGGTGAGTAAAAGTTCAGTTTGTCTATATCCAGGTCACAATTCTGTCACAGAAAGGACAGAAAGAGAGAGAGAGAGAGAAAGGGAATTGGTGTGGTGTGTCTATGGCTCAGTTCTGTGGTTTTTCTGTCACACACACAATAACAGTCACATACACACATACACGTGCCTAAACTTGTGTTTGGTCAGTGGTTTGTTAGCAGAAGCAGCCTGTCTATTCAGCTGTGCAGTAGTCAAGCATAAACCCCACACACACACACACCGTACCCAGGGTGCTGTTCTCTCTAAGGCCACTGATGTCAGACTGAAGGCATGTTAGGGGATGGAGGAACAGCAGCAACTGGACCGAAACTGAGACCACTCAACACGCACACACACACACAGAAGCCGAGCTCTCCATTTCAGTCTATAAGCTGTGGAGGCTTCCATCAGTGCCGTCACAATGAACCAGGACAACAACTAAACTCAATCATGACAGCTGTGGCCCGGAACACGCAGACCCCCATAAAGGATCATTCACACTATAAGAGTTCCTGCATTATGTCTGCATTGTTTTCAAAGGCATAATTCACCCAAGCACGAAAATGTACAAACTATTTACCCCTAACAACTGAATTTCATAGTTGGAAAGACAAATACTATGGAAGTCAAATGGTTACAAGCTTCAAAATATCCATCTTTGTGTTTAATAGAAGAAAGAAGGTAAGGTTTAAACAACCAAAGGGCAAATAAATGACATATTTTGGGGGTTAACTATGTCTTTAATTGTTGGTTTGTGTAAATGTGCATCATGTAGACTGCATATTGTCACGCAGTTTCAGAAACTTGTGAAGATGCTACTCTAAAACTCTTTAAAAGTTTTAAAAACAATAGACCAATCAGTACATTGAGCGAATCTTGATCAGATTGAAAGTTCAGAATTAAACCATGCTGCTGTATTGGATATTCAATTTTAATTCACACGCACACGCACACACGCACACACACATTACATTAATTGCTAATAAGTGTCGCATTGTAACGAAGGGTCTGACACAGAGGGATCCATTTGCTGTATATTTATTAAACAGAGTTTAATAACAATAAGCACACAGATGTTATGCGGGTGCAAACTCACATCAAACACAGTAGTATCAAGTCGAAGGGCTGGCGGCAGGCAAACACAAGGTAAGTTATCATGCATGGGTCAAAGGCAGGCGGTGAGGATCAAAGTCGGTATTCAGGCTTGGGTTCAGGGCAGGCGGCAGGCAAGACAAGGTCAAGATACAGTCCAAGGTAAGCAACGGGAAAGCAAGCCAGGATGTGAAACGCTCAGTGGTGTTAGCCGGGGCAGAACAAGATTTCGCACTGAAGGTGTGTGTGTGTGTGCTGCTTATGTGTGAGCCAGGTGATTGGGAGATGTGCTGCAGGTGTGTGTGACAATCAGTCAGTGGGGATGACGTAATGTCAATAGTCCAGTGATGATGACCTCTGCTGGCCAGCGAGGGGAATGACTGGGACCGAGTTGGTGACACGCATATTAAACTACATACAGCAGGGGAAATAAATATTGAACACGTCACAGTTTTTCTCAGAAAACATATTTCTAAAGGTGCATTGAAACTTTACCTGGATGTTGGTAACAGCCAAAGAAATCCATACACAGCAAAATTCTTCTAGAAAAATTTACTCAGTGTAGATAATATTATTCGGTTCCTCTCTAAACTGAGTTAAAATTAAAAATCAAGTTAATGAGACAATGAAATGATTAGTAAGGTGATGAGTGAGCACCGATGATAAACACCTGCTAAACAAACACAGAAGAGAAACACCAGAACAACTGACTTCAGTCACAGCCTTAGATGAAATCAGCTGAAACAGAATGCAATGAATCTCTCAGAATCTCAGCAGAGCAACTCCGTAAACAGCAGCTTTACTTACTACCAACCTGTTAGCCCTAATATAAAGAGGGACCAAATACTCTCTGAAGTGAGTAAATTTTACTTTGAGTATTTGCTGTGTATATGCAAAGTAAACAAATCTAATTAGCTTACATGAGAAGTTATGTGTGATAAAATGAAATGACACAGAAAAAAAAGTATTGAACACATGAAGAAAGAAGGTGTGGAAAAGCAGTGAACGCCCAGACAGCAGCTGAAATCTCTCAGTAGTTCATCAGCTGCCCTTCGTCTATGTAAATTAATATTCGCTGCTTCAGTCTAACAACTACATTACCAGGATGATGAAGATAAAAACCAGGATGGACATTTCAGCAAGATAATAATCCAAAACACAGCCAAGGAAACTCTTAAATGGTTTCAGAGACAGAAAACCAAGCTGTAGAATGGCCCAGCCAATGACCTGACTTGAATCCAATAGAAATTCAAATTAAAGATCAGATTTGATGGACAAGACCCACAAACCATCAAGGTTTTACACACTGCCTGTAAACAAAATCCCACTTGAGAAATGGATGTGACTTTGTTCCATATGAGAGGCATCTTTAAGCTGCCATTATTCATGCATTTCAGTAGTTCAGTACTTTCTCCTTGTGTCATTTCATTGTTATTTCACATGTTCATTTTTCAGATTTTTTTGTTTGTTTGTTTTGTTATATTTTTATGTTTGTTTTGTTTGGGTTTTTATCAAAATCTGTTTCAATTCCATGTTAATAAGCTTCTTTAGAAATATTATTCCAATTAAAAAACATGGTGAAATCAATACATTTTTCCCCACTGTATATGTTAACAATCTTTCTTCAGGATTTTTCTTTTCA